ACCATCATACCATCATACACCAGCTCAGACCAGCAAAACCTGAAATTGACTTAACTGTAGGAGGGGCTTATATGGTTAACTGATTATCTCTAATCCAGCATCAATTTCCAGAATTCAGAAGAGGAGAATAAGGGACAGAATATGTTTGATATCAGAAACAGGAGAAGGGGTGTCCCTGTGAAGATATCAGATGATAAAACTGTAAAAGAGAATTTTGGATATTATATTTCCTACTAATGTGAACAGGAAACACTGCGGCTCAAGCTAAAGGAAAAGGCTAAAGCAGTCATGATCCCGCATAGTGCTACAAATATTTAAATCACTGCTACAATTCACTTCACCTGTCCTGGATTTCTCTGTATTTTTCAAAATATTTGAGCGTGACAGTTGCCCCTATCCGCAAGCTACAAATGATTACCCAGTGGTTTGAACAGCTCTTTAATGCAGCCCCGGTGGTTTCATTAGAATATTATTCTCTCCCAGCACGTCCCACTAATGATGCCGGCAATATGTAAATGGTTGTGTTTTGTATAAGCAGGAAGATCCCAAGTGACAGTTTATAAAAGGAAGTCGGGAACTTCTTGTGGGAGTTTTTTTGACAACTCCTACAAAACTGGAGCATCTATAATGCATAACCTTTGTTTCTTAAAACATGACTGGACCAAACATATGTAAGACAGAAAACTTAGAAACTTATTTTCACTAACATGTAGCTAATTTGACTATGCTGTATTCAGAGTCACAGAGTGTATCAATGTACAGAGTAATGCTGTGAGTTCTTACATGTCAGAGTTCTGTCTAAAGGAGTTCATACAGTTCAAACAGCTGCTGACGCAATCACCAACGTACAGTAAGCAGTGGAGCGTCAATCTGCGTAGGTTATTAATCATTAATCTACAGAGGAACTATAAATCCTTTATCAGGCGGGCAGAAAACATAGTTACACTCAAGGTCACACTTAAATAATCTCTGAATATAAAGCTGCTGTTTCCTGACTCACAGTATGTGGGTGTATGTGAATGTACTGTACTTACAGTATCTGTTGTGCAGAGACAGATAAGAAGTCACTTCATGGTACAATTCAACCATTTGGTTGAGCATGGCTGTAGACAGTAATATCATACTGATTGAATTAATTCAGCATATATATAATATGGATATTTAACAACTATAAAGGATCAAAAGTGTTTTTGTTTTGTAGCAAATAGTCAGTTTTAATTACATTAGCTCAGCTTCACTACCTTTACCTAAAAAGACAAATGAAGCGTAGAAAATGTTTTTGAAAAATTATTTGACCTTTATTAGACTTTTATTTTTTTGTATAAAGTTACATAAATCTGTTCTATAAGACCTCTTAAACATGTGAGTGGCATGAGGGCCCAACGTCCTCTAGTGGGACCTGTGTTCACAGCCCAGCACCGTGCCGCTTGACTGGCATTCACCAGAGAACACTAGAATTGGCAGGTCCGCCATTGGTGCCCCGTTCTCTCTACAGATGAGAGCAGGTTCACACTGAGCACATGTGACAGGCTTGAAAGAGTCTGGAGATGCTGTGGTGAACGTTATGCTGCCTTTAACATCATGGCGGTGGATCAGAGATGGTCTGGGGAGGCAAATCCTTGGAGGGTTGCACAGACCTCCATGTCATAGCCAACTGTACCCTGACCGCTGTTAGGTACAGAATGAAATCCTCAGAGCGATTGTCAGATGTTACGCTGGTGCAGTGGACCCTGGGTTCCTTCTGGTGCAGGACAATGCCCATCGTCATGTGGCCAGAGTGTGTCGACAGTTCCTGGATGACGATGGCATTGATGCCATTGACTGGCCCTCTCGTTCCTCTGACCTAATTGAGATTGAGCACCTATGGGACTTTATGTTTCAATTCATCTGATGCCACCAAGTACAGCCACAGGCTGTCCAGGAGCTCACTGATCCAGGTCTTGGAGGAGATCCCCCAGGACACCATCCACAGACTCATCAGGAGCATGACCAGATGTTGTCAGGAGTGCACACAGGCACGCGGGGGCCATACACACTACTGAGTCACATTATCCAAGTCATCCACCTGCCAACTTGACCCCCTGCCATCCTCCCTGGTTATAGCCTGCCTCCCCTCTCTGCTGCCCCTTATAACCGCCATTATCCATTCCTCCCTGACCACTGGTTCTGTCCCACCATCTCTTAAGTCTGCTGCAGTGACACCGATACTGAAAAAGCCAGGTTCAGACCCCAGCAACTACAATAACCTTCGTCCCATCTCCAACCTGCCATTTCTCTCTAAAATACTGGAAAAGGCAGTGGCATCACAGGTTCAGGCTCATCTCTCCAACAATAACCTCTACGAACAGTTCCAGTCCGGTTTTCGCCCCCGCCACAGCACAGAGACCTCCTAATGGCAGCTGACTCCGGACTATTATCCATCCTCATCTTCCTTGACTTGAGCGTGGCCTTCGACACTATATCACACTCCATCCTCCTTGACAGACTAGCTTCCATTGGTATAATTAACACACACCTAGACTGGTTTCACTCATATCTCTCTGGCCGTACTCAGTTCATCCAGTTGAAATCATACACATCCCATCCATCCCTCTCTCCTCCGGTGTTCCCCAGGGCTCTGTCCTTGGCCCTATTCTATTTATTATTTACCTCCTCCCACTTGGACTGATATTCTGTAAACATAATATACATTTCCACTGTTACGCGGACGACACCCAGCTCTACGTTTCCTCCAAACCCATTTCCACCTTCCCGCCCTCCTCCCTCTGTGCCTGCTTGCAGGAAATCAAAGCCTGGTTCTCCTCAAATTTCCTCAAACTCAATAGTAATAAAACTGAGGTAGTCCTCATTGGCTCGAAGTCCACCCTCACCAAACATCCCAGTTTCACCCTCACCATAGACAACTCCTCGGTTTCCCCCTCCCTCAGGTTAAGAGTCTGGGTGTCGTCCTCGACAGCACCCTATCATTCCACACCCACATCAACAACACTATCCGGTCCGCCTACTTCTACCTCCACAACATCAACCGCCTCTGCCCTTCACTCACTCCCAACAGCGCCACAATCCTGGTTCACTCTCTGGTCACTTCCCGCCTGGATTACTGCAATTCCCTTCTCTTTGGTTTCCCCCACAAACTCCTCCATAAACTTCAACTGGTCCAGAACGCTGCTACCTGTATCATCACCAGAACACCATCCATCAGTCACATCACCCCAGTTCTACATCAACTCCACTGGCTTCCCATCAAACACCAGATTAACTATAAAATCCTCCTCCATACATTTATGGCCATCCATAACCTCCCTCCCTCATACCTTTCTGCCTCCTACGCATCAATATCCCCACCCGGTCTCTCAGGTCTGCCTCCTCTGTCAGCCTGACTGTCCCCCCAGCCCATCTATCCACCATGGGGTCCAGAGCCTTCAGCCGCTCTGTCCCTCGTCTCTGGAACTCCCTCCCCCCTGACATCAGGAACATTGACTCTATTTTAGTTTTCAAGTCCAACCTCAAAACCTACCTGTTTAGGCAGGCGTATGAGTGTTAATGTTTCCTCTGTCTTTTAATGTTCTGCTGCAAACTCTGCACTGTTGTCTCTTGTATTTTAGATGTGTTTTAATTGTATTACCTGTATTTTTTTTTAATTGTTGTATGGCGACCTTGAGTGCCATGAAAGGCGCCTTATAAATAAAATGTATTATCATTATTATTATTATGAGTTGCTGTGATAAAATTTGCACAAGTTGGATCAGCCTGTGATTTCAATTTTTACTTTGATTTTTCGATGTGATTTTGAATCCAGCGCTCAGTGGGTTGATGATTTTGGTTTCCATTGACCGTTGTTATGTCATTTTATTCTCAACAAATTATACAATGAACATCAGTAAAGATTTTCAACTTGAATAATTCATTCTTCAGGATCTGATGTGTGATTTAAGTGTTTGTTTAATTTTTTGAGCAGTGTAATACCAATAGAGTACTTCATTTGATTGATTTGCGCAAAATGCCACCAGACGCCACAGTTTTGGTGGCATCTCATCACGCTGAACTGCCAGCTCAGTCAATTACACCACACTCAACTTCACCAAGCCACAGACTGTATAGGTTGTACCTGCTGGGGTAGTGGACCAATCACATACTGCATTAAATCAAAGAACACTTGCAGTGATTGGCTGCTTGCAAAACCATAAAAATTGAATTTTTTTTCTAGATCTGGATACAAAAATGATCAAATGCATCTAATATTGTTTTATTGAAGAAATTTCAATACTACCAGGTTCATATCTTAAAGGTATCAAATACTAATAACCAGCCCTGTTTATATGTAAAAGTCCTGCACTCTAGCTTTAATGACATGCGTATGTTTGTGTGTCTGCAATATGTTGAAGCTCACCTGGTTTATTTGCTTCCTGTTTGCAGCAGGGGACACCATGATCATTAACACACAGTCACAGTGCATTCCACTATATTGCCCCTCTGTATGTTCTTAATGTAGTCTCCTCACATTTCGTTATTTTCCTCTCTTTCCCACAGAGAGTCAGAGGAGATCGACCTTTTAGGTGGGGGAAAAGGAGGGCATATGGTTGTCAAGACAACCGTCAGCCCCAGATCATAGAAGTAGAAAGCTGGAGAGATAAAGATACTAGGGGAAGGGAAGGGGAACAACTGAATGTAATGAAGCTTAGCTGCACATCTCCAAATATAGAGTGTTTCCTTCACACAGCTGTCAGTGCTGTGCCAGGGCTGGAGGAAGCACACTCAGTTTTACTGTCAGTGGGTCACACTGGCTACACAGAACCTCTGCATGCATGAACCACTTTTATTCTGATCACACATTTGCTCGAGGCTAAGAGTTTTGGGGGTGTCAATTTCAGACTGCTAAACAGATCCCTCCATATTTATAGTATCTCTGTTCTTTTCTCTGTCGCCGTCTGACACCCTGAAAGCTGTCAGTTTGCCATTTTGTGATTTTGTCTCTTGTCTGTTCTCTTTCACCTCACCAGAGATCTGTCTGCTGACCCGCGGCAGACGGACGGCCAGCGTGCGAGCGGACACCTACTGTCGCCTGTACTCTCTCTCTGTGGACAATTTCAATGAGGTGCTGGAGGAGTATCCCATGATGAGGAGGGCCTTTGAGACAGTTGCCATTGACAGATTGGACAGGATAGGTAAGATTGGTAACCTGCAACAGGAGAGTGAACTTTATGTGATATTATTTAAAGGGCAGGTCCATCTGTGTTCTTTCTTCTTCATTTTTAAATGGAAGCTCTTGCTGTGCTGTTATCAAAAAGCATTGATGTAGGTTACAACACTGATGCCAACCCCCAGACACGCTGTTTGCTGACAGTGTAAGCGCAGAGAGTGAGGAGAGTGTTAGCTCAGAAGATCTGAACTTTGAAGTGGAAGATGGTGCTATTTTATTATTATCAAAACTTTATTTAACCAGGTGAACACTGCATTTGTCCAGTATAAGCACCACCTTAAAAAAACACCTAACAAAATCAATATCAATTTAATTGTATGTCACCGATAAGGTCTTTTGATGGGACAGACCAACTTTGAAGTCGATTGGAATAAATCTGTAGGAGGAGTTCAAAAGTACGACCCCTAGAATGGCCAAAAATGCACAAAAGTTGCACAGTAAATTCAAAATGGCCGACTTCCTGTTGGGTTTAGAGCATGGGTCCAAGAGACTCTTATGTATGTCTTCGGACATTACATGTGCCCACCGATTTTTGTACATGTAGGTGAAAGCAGCTTTGGGGGCTGTTTCGCAGAACTTTTGTGGGGGGCACTACTGAGACAATTTTTGGCACCTGAGCATAAGACCCCAAATATCAAATTCTAAGAAAGAATTTCTTGTTCTTTTCTTCTTCAGGAAAAAAGTATTTTGATGCTAAAAAACATACTAAGAACCAAAATTTGAATTTTCCAAATTGGATACAGAGGGAGCACCACTGGAAGGATACAGATTGCTATAAATAAGGCATTATGTTTTTTGGGTTGTCCGTCCGTCCATATGTCTGTATAATATATCTGTCCATCCCATTTTCCTGAACGCGACATCTCAAGAATGCCTCGAGAAAATGTTCAAATTTGGCACAAATGTCCAGCTAAGTAGATTTTTGGGGTTAGAGGTCAAGGTTGTTGTGACCTCATCCGTCTCATTCTTGTGAACGTGATATCTCAAGAATGCCTTAAGGGAGTTTTTTCCAATTTGGCACAAACTTTTCCTTTGACTTGAGGATGAACCGATTAGATTTTGGTGGTCAAAGGTCAAAAGTCAAGGTCACTGTGACCTTGCAACCATCTTATTCCGTGAATGTGATATCTCAAGAACACTCTGAGACAATTTCTTCAACGTTGGCACAAATGACCACTCTGAGTCATTGGTGAACTGATCTGAATTTGGTGGTCAAAGGTCACTGTGACCTGGTCCGTCGCATTCTCGTGAATGCAATATTTCAAGAACACCTTGAGGGAATTTCCTCAAATTTGGCACAAACATCTACTTGGACTTAAGGATGAACTGATTAGACTTTGGTGTTCAAAGGTCAAATGTCACTGTGACCTTGCATCCATCTCATTCTTGTGAACATGATATCTCAAGAACACTTTAAGAGAATTTCTTTAAATTTGGCACAAACATCTACTTAGGCTTGAGGATGAACTGATTAGACCTTGGTGGTCAAAGGTCACTGTGACCTTGCATCAGTCTCCGTCTCATTTTGTGAATGTCATGATATCTTAAGAAGGCATTAAGGAAATTTCCTCAAATTTGACACAAACATCCGCTTGAATTCCACAATACACTGATTGGAATTTGGTGGTCAAAGTTCAAGATCACTGTGACCTACAAAACATGCTTTTGGCCTTAAATCAGGAATTTTAATTTTAATTAGGACAAAATTTCTCACAAATGTCTAATTGGTTGAAAATGATGAAGTTTCATATCCAAAAGATCAAAGGTCAACTTCACTGCGACATCATAATGTTCTGCAGAAACACTTTGCTGGACGTTATTCACACCATAGCTCAGGAACAGAAGGGGAGACATTTGATCAGATACTGTACAGGTGACTCTAATTTTGAGTGGCCACCTTGAAACTGTGCTGATTGTATAGATCTTCTGTGCTAATGAGGGGAAGATGTTTGTGAAGCATCCAGGTTTTCACAGACATGGATGTAAACTGTATTTGCAACTTGAGGGGTTTGCGAAGGCATACAGCAACAAAAGCAGTAATTCTAGTTTTCTTTTGGTTCATTTGGGGAGAAGTTAACTCAGGTTCATACTTAGTAACATAATTCTCAGCTCTTAGTCCTGAAAGTAACAAATTCATCTTTCCATCCAGACCTGATTTATGAAATGTGTCTGGGAGATTTAGTCATGGATAATTAGCATTACGTCTCACTGATAAAAGCCACAGGTATGGTGTCTTCATAGGCATATGAGTCATTCGTAAGATGAAATGAAGCATAAGGAAAATGTATTCATTCATTAACCTGATGTCTCTGTCACTGTCTGACAGCTGTGTGAATGATCCTAGAGACGGTGTGCGCGGTGGAGGAAAGGAGTCGATGGTGAAAATGTATTCATGGCTGTGAATCATTTGTCATGTCGTTTGTTGAGTGTAAATCTGTCCTCACAATTTAATGCTCTCTGTGGGTATCTGCCATATTGAAAACATATGTGACTCTTGTGAATATCATGGCAGAAACCGCTGTGCAAAATCACTGTTTTGTGCCTCTGTGCTCGCTCCAGATGAGTTTACTGTTTTGTTAAATGATTGCTCGGCAGTGAATCTGTCTTTGAAACACACCCACAAAACTCACACACACAAACATGCAAAGACTGCTTCGTCTTAGCGAAGCCATGGGGGCCCCTTGTCAACAAATAAACACAAACATGTTATTTTTCTTCACAATGCTGACACCTCTCCCCTCCCATCATGCCTCCCAAGGTCAGCAGTGTTTCTGATGTCACATCCTCCTTTCACATGACCACACTTCCCATGTTTACAAAAGCCCTGTATCTGCCACCTGCCAGCTGTTGCCATAGCAGCCAGATTCCACACATGAGCAGCCTTCAGTCAGCCCGCTCACATATTTTGAGGGGGTTGTCTAACTGTTTTAGGACAGATCCACCGACCAAATATTCCCATCAGGCTCCATGTGATGAATAATGACCACCAATAATTTGTTCCTTTGTTTGGCTTTGTCAGCAGTGTTTGTCAGAAAAAGCATCTGGATCAAACACACAGAGGGCTATCAGAACAAAGCCATGTTAAGAATATGAACTGTAAATACAGACTTGCAAATAATGACACAAGCTTTGTTCCTTTCAAATGTAAAGAGCGATTGTTGGATTCATCTCTATGACGCCCTCATTATAAAATCCAGTGCTTCAAATATCAATCAAACTCAAATCTTTAAGTTGCATCATATTTTTTGTTGTTGCTGAGCATCTGTGACCAGGAGTGCTTTTTTAGGATCAGTTCAGCCTGACAGACCATAATAACACATTTTAGAAAGAGCTCAGCTCACTCCAGCAGCCATTCATCCATTTCTTATGAACACAGTCCCTCACCTTTGAGCCATTCCTACATAGAGATAAGCCAATCCCTTGTCTATCGTCTTCACACCCTTAATGCATCACATTTTGAACACAGTGGCACATAAGATCAGCAGACGGGGCAGTATAGCAGTGATTTAAGGCGGGATGGAGGTGTTACTTGATAATGAATAGGCATTGTTGTAAAAACAGCTATGCAACTGATGTGTGAGTTTTGCAGAAGAGGCAGCTTCAGCTCTGCATTGACACCTCAAACAACTCATGTGCCTACGTCTCAGTCAGGTGGTTGCTTGCGCTGCTCCTTTTTCTTTCAGTGCCATCAGAGTTATTATTACACTGAGGTATCACCTATAGCATCTATTTGCCATCTATAACTTACCAAGAGTGATGGAAGCCTGGTAACACTGGGTCAGTGCTACCAGGCAGAGGCAGACACCTTTGCTGTTTCTTGATTCTTCAGAGGGAAGTGTAGTGGGAACAACCCCAGCATCTGCAAGGAAGACCTGGTGCTCCTTGATAGGAGTGCCACAAGAATTCATACTACGGTACCGAGTCAATGCCAACATTCTACAAAACAAAACAGTAGTCATTTTTTTCTTGTACCATAGATGTCATAGGTACTGGGGATGCAAATCTTCCGGACCTGACGGGGCAGCACATACGCCTACAAGTGTTTTAGACTGACGTCAAATCAAGGCTATTCAAAAGAGGCCTTGAGACGCTATTTGACCCCGTGGGAGCTACGGGTATGACACCTGCATGGTGCAACTGGAACTGTAATGTTGGAGAGTTACAGCAGACAGGGCTAGAAATAAAGGGATGGTTTCCAATACAGTGTTGTGACTTCTCCTCTTTTTAACCTCCTTGTGTTAAATGCCAGAGGAAGAAAAAGAACGCCTACCACTGCAGAAGAACAACAGCTCTGCCTCGACTTGTCGAAAAGAAGTGTTTTTTCCTGAGGCCAGCATATCTTGTTAATTCTTTGCAATGGGAGCGCCATGTATTTACACTATGCTACTACAGTAGTTGCTGTGCAACTACTCTGTGCTAAGTGCTGCACATTTGGTGTTTTTTTTCTGGTGGCAGAGAGTTGAAAAATGTTCAACTTTGGGTCAAATGCTGTATCCTTGTCCACAAAATCTCATGAACTCACCAACCCGTTCTCACTCTGAAGTCATCAAAATCTGGCGCTTGTGACTTCAGACGTCAGACACAGACCAAAAAAGCCATCCTTTAACGTCGGCATGATACATGGCCAGTCGCTGATATTGTTTGACAGCGGCTGACAGCATCAGCAGGGAAACGCAGCAGGACAAGAACAAAAGTAAAGGCGGTGAAAGTCTGAGTAGGGTGGGCGGGACAGGTCGTGGATAGGTCCAACAAACACCGACTATCAAGTGGGAGAGCAGTGTTTGTGTACGTTAGTTTGATTAAGGGGAAAAAAAGTCACTTTGCAATGTTGTACCGACGTGGTGCATGTATTTTGAAAGAGACAGTGTAAACGGTAAATTTCTCGTGAGAATGGAAGTGTATTTTGAAAGAAGACAATGCATGTAACAGGCAGAACTTGACACAGCGTTCCAGAACCAATGCACCCAGGATAACTTCTATGTTGTATCTGGACGCGGAAAGTCCATGACCAAATATCAATATGTGACAAGGTGAGGTCAGTGAATATGAGTTGAACCCACACTGACGAGTACTTTGCATTCAGGGATTAATAACAGAGTTGAAATTTAATTTCTGTTTTAATGTTGCATTGCATTGAATTGGGTATCAAAAATTAGGGACTTTCACCGGTTTTGGTATCAAGTACTGAATTTCTGGTATTGTAGCATGCCTACTCCTTAAAGAAGAACTCTCTCAATGTTGCACCTAGGCTTTTCTAAGATGCAGCACAGCAAATGGAGATTCCTTTGTCTCCAACTTCCGAACTCATAGAGGGGATGTCGTCACAAAGCCTTGACTGCCAAACTGTGTTTTACAGAAAGTCCACAAGTGGGACCCATACAACATGCAAGGAGAGTACAGGAGTCACCACAGTCTGGATCTGTGTCCTCCTTCTGGTTGGGTGGCTGACTGTGTTACAGTTCATCAACAGCCTTATTGACCTCTTCTTACATGGGTATCACTGAAGCTGTTGTGCTGACTAACAACCTAGTTTTATTGCCAGCTCTCTAGACCACCTGCTGCATCAGAGAACCAAGTGACAATAATGCACAAGAGCTATATGAGCTATTGAAGTCTCCCACAGGCACATGCACATGTCTCTACATGCCCATCTCCTATGAAGCCCTCTGTGTCCCCAGTGTACAGCATATGGTTGATCATCTGGATGCAGCTAAGAAGGCCAGCAAGCAGCTGAAATCTAGCCTTTGGTCACAACCTTTTCCCTCAGCAGAATTTATGAGCAGAGAGCAGCCCTGTGACTGCCCTTTAGCATCAGCATCATCATCATCATTGGCTGGCTGCTCCAGCATTTCAGCCCTCCTATCAGCTGGGTGCAGGCCTGGGTAAAGTCAGAGTGCCAACTTCATCCATCTTGCAGAAAATCCAGTAAAAACAAGATGAAAACAAATAACAGTGTCCATCAAGGAAAACTCTTTGCTTCTTTTACTTCATCTAAACCTGAGCCTGGTTCAGCTGTGCAGGGGTTAATGTGTATCTAACACCGAGAAGCGTCCCGTCTGGTTCAACTGTCTCATTTTCTCTTTAACTGATCTGCCGTTAGTTACCTCTCTTCACATGTCCGAGCAATTGATTCACTGGTTAGACAGAATTGTTCCCCAAATAGACTCCTTCTCCTTTTCCATCAGGAAGAGCGATGTCTCTGTTAACCTCCCCCATTGCCCCTCCTAGCCATTACGTCAGAGGTGGAACTTGTAAATTCAACTCTCAGCAGGTTTCAGACACAGCAGTCTCTAAGACACTCATCTTACCTGAAAGCGGTGAGAACCCAGGGGGGGTTGAACCTCACCACTTTGTGACGTATATACTGCTTTCTTTTAACAGCACAGCTGTGATGAAACCATGTGAGATTAGATGTGATGATTCTCTCATACACTTTCCTGCTGTGATGTCTCTATCTGGCATTACTTTGCCTGGCTATAGCCATGCAGCCTTATTCCAGGACCAAGTGAGATCCTACAGTTCAGTCATCAGTCTACGTTTAACAGCATTCAGGCTGATTCCACAAACGCCCTTCTGTAATCTATCAGAGAGTCAGAGGGAAACGTGGACTTGCTGATTTAGTCTTAAGTGCACTCTTCCAAGAAGTTTCCACAGTTTTACTTACTGGTGAGAGGTCACAAGCATTAAAAGTTCATTCACAGCGTGATGTCACATGAGAGTTGTGAAGGTGGCATAGCCTTCATATCCTTCATCAGTGTCACTTGAATCAAAGGAATACTTTAGCCCCAAATGACAATTACTCATCTGATGTTGCTTTGAATTTATGAAGACAACTTTTTCTTGCATGTCTCCGGTGAACGGGAAATCCAGAAGTGGAGAAATTTTTTAATAAAAATGAAGTTACAGGGGTCTGCGTTTAACAATAGCAAAACTTTATTACATTATATTACAACTCTCATTCATTCATTCATTTTCTGTAACTGCTTAGATTGGACTCACCAAAAAAAAAAGTAACTGATGGAGACAGAGGTAGATGAGCAGCTCCTGTGTTCAGCGAGGTAAAATTACTGTTTTTGTTAATGGAGTCTGGCTACAAAGAGAGCGTAGATAAATTTCACATTTTCACAGGGGCAGCAGTAGCTCAGTCCATAGGGACTTGGGTTGGGAACCGGAGGGTCGCCTGTTCAAGTCCCCGTCCGGACCAAAATATGGAGCGTGGACTGGTAGCTGGAGAGGTGCCAGTTCACCTCCTGGGCACTGCCGAGGTGCCCCTGAGCAAGGCACCGAACCCCCCAACCGCTCGGAGCGCCTGTGGCAGCCCACTCTGACATCTCTCCACTTAGTGCATGTATAGGTCCAGTTTGTGCATGTGCGTGTTCGGACCTGTGTGTAATTGACAAACAGAGTGAAAAACAAATGAATTTCCCCTTGGGGATTAATAAAGTATATAATATTTTAAAAAATGTAAAAAAAATTAAGTTCAGCTCCCCGTCGGAATGGCCCGTCTCTTTGGGAAGTACTGAGCATACAACTGGATAAATGTGACTTGGACTATACTGCACAAGTTGTGTGAGAGTTTGTAAATTGATATTTTAATATAGTTTTGCTGTTGTTAACCAGGGTCGCCTATGACTGTAATTTATCAAGAATTTTTGGATTCTTCATTCTTCACAAATTCAACATAACACAGGATGAGTAACTGATATACAAATCATCAATTTGGGGGACAAAGTCTTCCTTTACGGTGTGAACTGGTGTGAAAATGCTTGGGAATGGAGGTCTGGATGCAGTAAACGGTTGAGTCTTGATCATAAGAAGTTGTTCTTGGTCCTTTCTGTATACTGCAGGCTTGTGCACTGCTTGTGCCCTTGAATGCAGGTGCATCTTTTGTTTCTCTTCTTACATTTGGGTGTCTACTCATCTTTGCATATTCTCTCAGTACGAAGAGACGGTCCGTTTGGGATTCTGATGTAGCCTACATAGACAACTTGCTGAGCCTTTCCCCCCTCACAACAAGAAATGAGAGTACATAAAATGTCAGGGTTTTTCCATCAGCTACAAAAAGTGCACACTGCAGTTAGGTCAACAGAAACAGCAACTGCTCAACCATGTGTTTTTGTCACCACAATAACAGCTGAGATGATAATGTCTCTGTTCAGCCTCACATCACCCTCGATACGCCGTGTAACCCATCAAACCCAAGTGTTCAAGCTGTGAGCTTGGTGTTTCTTTGTGTAGGGCATGCCACCATCTAATTAGCCAAAGAAGCATCAGTTGTCTCTGGTGCTGCATAGTTGTGGGGGTTAAGAAAAGGTGAGGTCTGTTCAATGGCTACACCCAAAGAGCTGGAGTTACATCCAAATAACGTTTATTTTCCCCAGTGCTTGGCAAATGCCTGCCAAGCACCAGCCATGTATAATAAAACACAAGAACACGTGCATGGTCTAATCACACACAGGTGGTCCATCCATAGACATAGAGGCACAAATAAACAAATGCTTTGGCCACAGACACACTCTCTCTCTCTCTCACACTGTCAGCACTGCGGTGACTCTGCAAAAACACTGGTTGGCATAAACACTGTCCCCATATCCCCACCAGTGCAAAATATAAGATGATCTCTATTTTGCTCTCTATCTCTGTGTGTTGTCAGTGATGGATATTGTGCATGGAGAGAACAGCAGATAGTTCCACTTATAGGCTACTATATCCATCACGGCCAGGAATAGGATAAAGGTAAACAGTGAAGCTGTTATTTCTGTCTCTGGTAAAATTGACTGTGAATAAGAGAAGGTAGGATAATGCTAGGGGACCAAACTTTTATAACTCAGGCTGTGTTTCCTTTAGCAACCATAGTTCCTACTTCAGCAACAGTGCTACTTTCTTTCTCTTTCTCATTGCAGGCAAGAAGAACTCAATCCTGATGCACAAAGTTCAGCACGATCTGAACTCGGGTGTTTTCAACAACCGCGAGAACGAGATGATCCAAGAGATAGTTAAATATGATCGGGAGATGGTTCAACAAGTTGATGTACCACGACCGCGGGCCATGTCCATGACGCCTCCTCTACATGGTGGAATGTTTAATTCTCCAGGCCATGCTCCGAATTCAGCGATAGCCACTCTGCAGCAGGCCGTAGCCATGAACTTTTGTGCCCCCATGCAAGGAAACACAATGGGAGCGGGGAACCTGCAGTCCCCCAGGATGGTGAGGAGATTCCAGGTGATGGAAAGTGTGTCCACTCCTGCTTCAGCCTCTCCACTGCAGTCTCAGTTCCTTGCTTCTGGTGCCTTTGCTCCTGTCCTCTCCAGCCCCCCTGTCCAGAGCCCGCTGGCCCTTGGGGGACGATCATTCCAGTATGGATCCAGTGCCCTGGCTGGTCAAACCTCAGGCTCCCAGCTTTCTCTAGCCCAGCAGCACATAGCCAGCCCAGCACACCGACCCAGTGCACATAAGAGTACTCATTCCTTGCAAATGGGCAGTCTGAGCCAAGACGCCAGGGCACTGTCAGCCTCTCAGCCCTCACTGCCTCATGAGGGGGCACAACCAGGTGCCCCTAGTCCCCCCCAGTCTACACAAGTCTCCTCCACTTCCATTGGACCCCCTCAGACCCCAGCAGGTCTCACAGGCGTCCGGAGCGCTATACCATATAGAGTGGTACTGCCCCACCAGATGTCTGTGGGGGCCTTCCCTGTAGCATCCCTGCCTGGCTCTGCACAGAGTTTCGGGCCCGGTGCAGGGCTGGCAGTAGGGGGTCTGGGAACAGGTCTGGGGGACTCGGGACGACCCAAGAAGGACTCAATAGTGAGCCTTCCTGAGACAGACCACAGCAAAGTCAGATCCAGGCTTTCCTCAAACTTGTGATCTTAATTAAACTCATCTGGGGGAGTGACTCAGTGAGGGGCCAGACTGCAGGGACACGGGGGGATGTCTGCTCTTCTACAGTTCCTCTTCTCTCTCTGCTCCAGTTTGACTATCCGAATGTATGAATGTTGAGTGAGTGGCAGCGAGGAGAATCTGAGAGAAGACTGTTCTAACATAATAAAGTCTGTATGGTGACTTTTGAATCTGCAGCATTGAGATGTTTCTACTCACAGACAGTAGTTGCACAGTAGTAGTAAAGTAGCATATTCCCATCTCCAACCCCTTTATTTTTTGTATTTTACAGCATAGTCAACAACATATGGGCATATCTGCTTCATTATTTTCATTCACCTTATTTAATGCAAACTTGAGGTTGGATGGGACTAAAAGAAAATCAGGGACCTGCTTCAGATATCAGAAGTTGGCACTTTAATGGGGTTTAACCAGTGTATCGACCACATTTTGTCAGTAGGCTGGCTGTAAGGGACGATCTTCTCACAAAGGCATAATAATTGTGGTTTTGTAAAAAACAAAAAAAGCTGAACATTGAAATTGTGTGGTTTTTATGTGTTTCCTAAGTATCCATGTAGACCAAATTTGTAACCACATAATTAGGTAATATTCAATAGTGACTAATATTTTAAGCCATATTTTCCCCACACTATTGTTATGAATGGATGAGTATATTCAGAAATCAAGTTGGCCTCTTTTGTACGTCTTCCCTGCCTCTTGTAGTCCCCACAGATAAATACGTGAGCTCCTGAGGTGTTCAGATCTCGGAAAATGAATATCCATTACACTGAAATTACAGCTGCAGGACAAATTGTCCAGTTCCAGCCAAGCCATTGATTTCTACAGGAAATGTCTGCATGTTTGTTTAATTTAAAGCTGCATCAATCAATATTTTAGATATTAACAGTAAATCAAATGACAAAGGGTCATATTCAGGTAGTTGTTTGTAATGATGAACTCGCAGAGAATGATGACTCAGCTCTGCATCTCTGTGAAGCATTTTAGCCTTTTTTAAGCTCATTGTTTAGACATTAAAGGGGACCTGTTATGCTTTTCGTTATTTTCTGTCATATATATTATGTTAAGGTATTGCATGTTCATAGTAAGGTTGGCCGAAGTTTAGAATAGTGAGGTTAATGTATGCAGAAGTAATCCTTGTGGGCAAAAACCTCAGCCTTCATTCTAAATACTCTGTTTCCAACGTCTTTTTTTACTTTTGAAACAAGCTGACTTCAGCTTGTGACAGATTTCTACTGTTTCAGGCACGTTACTGCAAGAGTTTACATTACCTAGTGTGCACTGCTACATGTAGCTACATGCGCACGTCAGGGAAACATGTAATCTGGGTAGCCAGTGTTGTTAAATCCTCCCCAGTTTTGGAGCATATATCTGCCGAAACATGTCTGCTTGTGATGTTTTTGGTTTAGAAGGGTGTATTTGGGACAGAAGAAAGTGTTGCAGTATGCCGTTGCATTCATTTTCCAGCATCTTCATTCCCCAAGTACACTGCTACACTTAGCTACATGCTGATGTCAGGGAAACATGTAATCTTGGTTGCGGATGTTGTTGATTTCTCCCTGATTTCAGATTGCATCAGTGTTGGAACAGTTGTAAAGATTTTGTTTTAGAAGCGATTTTTCATGGTAAAAAGTGCTGCTATACTCAGATACAGTGATTCCCCAGCTGAGAGTACACTGCTATATGTAGCTACATGCGAATGTCAGGGAAACATGTAATCTTGGTTTGCTGACGTAGGTAATTTTGCCCTGATTTTGGTTCAGAAGCTTCTACTTGTGTTTTTTTTCATGGTAGAAAGTGTCACTTTATTTCGATACAGTGATTTCCCAGCTGAAAATACACTGCTACACATAGCCACATGCTAATGTCAGTCAGACATGTAATCTTGGTTGCAGATGTTTTCAATTTGTACCTGATTTTGGACTGTATTAATTATAGAACATGTCAGGTGGAGAAGATTTTGGTTATGATGCTTTAATTGGTGATTTTTCATCGTAGAAAGTGCCGCTATACTTCGTTACAGTCATTCCTCGACTGCAAGTACACTGCTACATGTAGCCACAAGCTAATGTCAGGAAAACTTAGTATTGGTTGCTGACGTTGTTAATTTCTCCCTGATTTCAGATCATACTCCTGTCAGAGTATGTCCAGTTGTGGAGATTTTGGTGAAGATGTTTTAATGGTGATTTTTTTTTTTTATGGTAGAAAGTGCTGCTATGCTCTGTTACAGTCTTTCCCTGGCTGCAGTGATGATACAGAGATGCAGAGACATGGAAGACCCAGAAACACTGACCAGTCAGAGCTGACTGGGCTTTTTCGGGAAACAAAGACGCTAAAACAGACCATTTCAGACAGAGGGCTAAACAGGTGTTTCAGTGCAGACAGTGTAAGGAAAATAAAGTCTTTTTTGAACATTAAAGTGTGTAAACATGTTCACGTAGAAATCCAAAATACAAGTATAAACCTGAAATGAGCATAATAGGTCCCGCTTAAAGTCCACAGGTTTTCAGCAAACCTACTGCGTAACCTGCACAGAGATGTCAACTAAACCAGATCTAAAAGGCGCAAAAATATAGATATGGTGACCAAAAAGATAGCAACAGTGGGATTAGGCCCTGATCACACAGAAAGCGTATTTGTCAAACTGTCCCAGAGACATCCTGAAATGTATCGTGACAATAAAAAAGGCACGGCAAGCATTTTTTTTTTTTTTTTACTAGCGCCGTTCAATCTTTGAAAAAGGCAGTGCGGTGTGCCAACCTGCAAAACACTTTCTGTGTGATTGGGACCTTATAATGTTGCTCGTGACTATTGAATATGTAAGCAGCCAACTGTTTGCTAACCTGTCTGCCATGACAACTTGATTAGGTAATAATACATCAGGGCTGTCAGCTTGTTTTTCCATTTGTGTTTAAACATTGATTAATGCAACTTTAACATGCATGAGTCAACAAAATCCAATAGAAATACACCTTACTCCCTCTTAACAGCAGATTTGATATCTGAAGTAGCGGGTTATGGATTGTAGTCATGTGAGTAGTAATATCTCACACTCTGTGAAAGTATTTTACTGTATCTTAGAAATTATAATTCACTGCCAGTTAATTACAAAGAATTTTATACGATTCAAAATGTAAATTCATTTAAGCTCACATAATCAAGAATATAAATCCATTCTTTTCTAACCCTGAATCTCACATTTCTTGCAGCCGCAGTTTGGGCAATGTGTCACTATGCCAAAGTCAATTCATACAGATAATGAATCTCCTGCGAAACTCCACCGTACTGTAAACGCTACAGCTTTGATCAACAGCCAAGGACAGCTCAGATACTTTGCAGGATGTGTATATTGCAGTGTGCCTCTGTCATTAATGCCTCACTCAGAGTCCATCGGATACCACTGATTTGTGTCCAAAAGCATTAGAAAGGGAACCTTTTCTCCTGGACCTGACATTCTACTCACCTCATCTCACTAATGCCTGAACCATTACTGGGTAATGAGAGTGGAAATTGGAATCCCTAGGGTCGGTTTGGGACTGTTATTATTCTCCTTCAATTGGATTTCATTATTCAGTGCCAATGATAAGTTCCTCCTCTGTGATCATTTTGCATTTCCATTTTGTTTAGTTTCAGTTCCTGCGTTGTTATCCACCTTGAGAGTTCCGAACGGGACAAAGTTGAAGGTTTGTAAGTATTTTTATACAGTGCTTTTGAGGTCTGTTGTGTTTTTGTTTTATGCTCAAATTATGCCCAGTGGAACCTATTTGGAGGCTTGAGAAATAATTAATATAGAGGCTTGTTATGAGAATAGAGTTTTATTGAACTTCACATTGTGTCCTGGATGCACTGTCTTAGGACAGGAAAGGCATTTAGTGACAAAATAAGTCTATAGACATTTTTTACTTCATTAGAAAGCACACAGTAGAGGAAGACAGGTAAGAGGAGAGAGAAAAGGTCAGTAAGTAAACCTAAATTACAAGCAGATATCAGTAACTAATGATCCCAAACAACTCCAATCTTAAAGGAACAGTTCACCCCAAAATAGAGCTATTTATCAGTATAGATTGTTTTGGTGTGAGTTGCTGAGTCTTGGAGTTATCGGCCGTAGAGATGTCTGCCTTCTCTTGAATATAATGGAACTAGATGACACTCAGCTTGTGGTGCTAAAAGTGCCAAAAAAAATACATTTCAAAAACTCGACAGCAATGTCTCTTTCCTGAAGTCATGACCCAGTTACTCAAGATTCACTGTTGTGCTGTTGTGAGCAGTTTCATGTAGGAACTATTTTCTCTCTACCGAACAACACCCAACAGCCAAATCACCACACAGAGGAAAGCGTGCATCTACTGCTAGCTCACCTAGCACCACTGAGCTAGCTAATATTACAGCTCAGCAGAGGAGGACACCCTTAATGTTTACATCTTACACTGTCAGGAGCACAAGCCTCTTGTCCATGAGTAGATGCACGTTTCCTTCTGCGCAGTGATACAGTTTGCAGATGTAGTTCAGTAGAAAGAAAATAGTTCCTACATGAAACTGCCCACAACCAAGTATTCATATCTTGACTAATTTGGTCATGATTTCTGGAAAGAGACATTGCTGTTGAGTTTTTCATACGTAAAATTTTGTTGCTTCTAGCACCACAAGCCAAGTGCAATCTAGTTTCATTACACTGGAGAGAAGACAGACATCTCTAAGGCCGATATCGCCAACATTTGGCAACTCACACCAAAACAGTCCAGATTGATAAATAGTACTACAGGTAAGAGGAAAAATATGTACATTTGATTCTGATACTGTCCCTTTAGTAAATGCTGAAGAGTGAACAGAGTGAAACCAAAGTTGATTTTTTCTGTATGCAAGTTCTTTAAAATGTTAAGATTCGAATGACATGTCACAGACTGAATCATTCACATTAATTAAACGTACCAATCAGAAACGACACTAAACTCACTGAGTCACATTGACAGCAATAACTGTTTGAAACAGAGTGAGTAGTCACTCTATGCAGATGATGTTCTGTTGTACCCTTGAGGTGTTAATGGAGATGCAATATTTCACCTTTTGGATTCATTTCCTAAACTTACGTACTACTTAGAATTAGTTTAATGTTTATTCAGATTTAAATCTGCGCTCATTAGTGACAATAACTTGATTGACATGGTTGTTATTTCTCTGTAAACATCATCATGTAAGCCGGACTATTTATTTAGCCTAGTTTACTCTAACTGTAGACATACCGAAAAAAATGTCTGAAAATGGAATATCTTTTTAATCTTTGACAAATTGCATATTATCTGGTATGAACCTATATTACTTGAACATATAATTAAAGCAGAACAAAACCATTTGCATCACAGAAGATGTATCACTTCTTTTTCTACAGTCGCTCACAGTACCACCCACAGTTTGTATATAATCCTGTGCCAGTTGCTGTGAGGTCTGCATGGTTTCTTCTATTGTGTATGCTTTATTTGTTTATTTAATTTTCTAATCTCTTAGTCCAGTCCATTTACAAGTCCCAGTCCTTTGACCAAAGCTGCTTTTTTATTTTTATTTTTTCCCCCTTCTCTGTTGATGCCTCTGACATCTAATTAGCATGTTGCCCAGAAATCTGTAAAAGCACTTTTCCCTCTTTTTGCAACTTTACAAACATAGTTGGTGTTATGTAAATGTTACAACAACGCAGCTGTTCAACTTTTTAAGTACACCTTCTAGGCTTTGGGAAGGATGGTGTCTGTACCACACACACACACACACACACACACACACACACACACACACACGGCAACATCAACAGAAGCATTTGTGTTTGCCAAGCTGTATGCTTTCAAAATGCTTTTTTTTCCCAAGGACTTTCTGCATAGATCCTCCTTCTTCCTGTCTTCAATGCTTCTCCAGAGCTGGAACTATTTTCCATTCCAATGTGTCTTGGGTTCATTAATGATGGTAAAGCATGGAGATTCAGTGTGTTTAAAATGTTTACCTACAAGGGCTGTTCATTTGAATTGAGCAATGATGTGATTTTGTGTCTCTGACTTTGTCACTTAGATACATCCACGCTAACCAGTTCAGATTATTTCTCTCTTATTGGCCAATAACAACTGCGCCAACACTGAAAATCATATAATGCACTTTTTATACTAGTTTTTATGTATTTCATAGGATACAATACAATATGATTCAATATCAAACAGCAGTGATTCAGCATTTATTTATTTCCGTTAAATTCCTGATTTTTTGTTGGCTGAACTTCCTGAATTTTTCAGATCCCAGAACTGATAGGGCCCAGACACACCGGACCAACATAAAAAAAACAAGTAGCGACAAAGGCTGACTGTTGTCACCTCACACCATGTCTCGGCCAAAAAGTTGTGCTTGAACACACCACATAGACAGCAGTCAATGGCCAGGTAGCACACTTGCTCTGCGCCTTCATTAGTGGAAATAACTGACCACACCAGCAGGTGGCGGTACTCTGTACTTGTCATTCAATAAGGGAAATAATATTACTTTTTCCAGTAACAAGTAGTGTAACTAATTACTAATAAAATTTCAGTAGTAATATTACAGTTACCCCAAAACCAAACAACTCGTTACATTACTTTTGTTATCACATCACTGCTGACTTGAAATACAACAGTCACAACAGCAAACTCAGTTTTGTAATCATTGCGCTGCGCAGGCATGTCACAAAGCAGCAAGCTAATTGGAAACGCTTACCTTAGCAACTGCATATATTCCCATAACCTTATCACCTCCAGTCTGAAACACTTTGGCTACTGCAACCAATAGCAAAACAACGTGAAGCTCCAGGAAATACACCCAACCAAAGGTGAGCCCTCATCTGCCGTGGCTAAACAGGCTAAACAACCAAAACTTGATTTAAATTGTGGTCAGCTGCAGGCTACAGAGACGTGATGAAACTTGTGAGCAAATATGTTGTGGATTAAATCTTGCTTCATAAATGACTCTCTCGGGCAGAGCCTTGGGAAAATACTGGTCACATGCAACAGAAAACACCCAGGTAAATAGAAG